TGTTATTGACCGGGTGTGGTGGCTCATGCCTGTAATCCTAGCACTCTGGGAGGCCAGGGTGGGGGGATCGCTCAAGGTCAGGAGTTCAAGAGCAGCCTGAGCAAGAGCAAAACCCTGTCTCTACTAAAAATAGAGAGAAATTAATTGGCCGACTAAATATATATATATATATATAGAGAGAGAGAGAGAGAGAGAAAAATTAGCCGGACATGGTAGCGCATGCCTGTAGTCCCAGCTACTCAGGAGGCTGAGGCAGGAGGATCACTTGAGCCCAGGAGTTTGAGGTTGCTGTGAGCTAGGCTGACGCCACGGCACTCTAGCCCGGGCAACAGAGCGAGACTGTCTCCAAAATAAATAAATAACCCCCGTCCAGCACGGAACGAGCGCACCTGTGGCCGCTGTGGGGGCCGGGGGCTGCAGGACGGGCAGCCTGCGGCCAGGGCGGGGCAGACCCAGGGCTGCCATCTGCTGAGCGGTGTCCCTCCCTGAGATCCGGCTCCAGGGCACCGGGAGGGGGTCCCCAACGTACCCATAGGAGGTGTCACCGGTGCCAGCCAGTGTCTGCGCCCCCGAGCCTGCGGGCTGGCTAGGCGCTCCCAGAGACGGGGAACTGGGGCGATGGCACCGGGGACCCGCTACCCGGGGGGCTTGCTTGGCCTGCAGAGGAGCTGGGGGAGGGGCAGGTGGCAGGAGCTGCAGGCAGGGAGCCGGCGGGCACCCCCTCTTCTGCCTGGAAGGGCCTCTGCCTCCCCCTGTGCGGCTGCCTGAGCCCCTCAGCCGCCCGCCTGGGGGACGGGTCGCAGCAGTGATGCCCGGCGGCGGCAGGAGGAACAGCGCTGGGCGCGTCCCCCGACCTATCCTGTCCCGAGCGCAGGTGTCACAGGTCCCCAAGTCACAGTCGGGACACTGTCACGCTCGAAGGCCGTCTTTGCTTCTCTGAGGTCCGAGGGTCACCGGGCATCCCGTGTTCCGTGTGTCAGCCCTCCCGCCCAGTGACGGTCGGAAAGGCCTGGAGCACACGCGTGTTATCCTGGGAGCGGGAACCGCCCTCCACGGGAAGAACTGGCCACCTGTCGGGAGAAGCTCCCAGGATCCTCGGTCTCGGTCAGCTCTCGGAATCCTCCAGCCCAGCCCTGCACGGCCGGGACGCTGTACTGAGCGCCCAGCCGGGTCCCAGGACCTGCAGACGCAGCCAAGACCTCCTGAGGGGGACAGGCAGGCTGTCCCCAGGTGGGAGTGGCTTCCGGAGACGGCTCAGCCCAGGAGGCTCCCTCTGGGCTCCTCAGGCGGCAGGCAGGAGGGCCGGGCGGCTGCACCCTCGCTGCTGTGGACACAGGAGCCGTGTCACCCACCTGACAGCACATTCCAGAAAAGCACAGTGACAACAGCGGACCCAGGAAACCAAGGCAGAGGAGAGCCTGGCCCCGTGGCACAAACAGGAAGCAGGAAGTGACCGGGTGCCAGCCTCACACCTGACCCTGGGCAGGAGTATAAAAGGGCCTGGGCACAGGAGGCTCCACATCTGCACCTCCTCCCACCTGCTCTTCCCACCTGCTCCTCTCTCAACCCACCTGAACCATGGGCTGCTGTGGCTGTTCCGGGGGCTGCGGCTCCAGCTGTGGGGGCTGCGGCTCAGGCTGTGGGGGCTGCGGCTCCGGCTGTGGGGGCTGCGGCTCCGGCTGTGGGGGCTGCAGCTCCGGCTGCTGTGTCCCTGTCTGCTGCTGCAAGCCCGTATGCTGCTGTGTGCCAGTCTGTTCCTGGTCCAACTGTGGCAAGGGCGGCAGTGGGTCCTGTGGAGGCTCCAAGGGGGGCTGTGGATCATCCTGCTGCCAGTCCAGCTGTTGCAAGCCCTGCTGCTCCCAGTCCAGCTGCTGCCAGTCCAGTTGTTGCAAGCCCTGCTGCTGCCAGTCTAGCTGCTGCCAGTCCAGCTGTTGCAAACCCTGCTGCTCCCAGTCCAGCTGCTGCCAGTCTAGCTGTGGGGGCTGCGGCTCCGGCTGTGGGGGCTGTGGTTCCGGCTGTGGGGGCTGTGGTTCCGGCTGTGGGGGCTGTGGTTCCGGCTGTGGGGGCTGTGGCTCCGGCTGCTGTGTCCCTGTCTGCTGCTGCAAGCCCGTGTGCTACTGTGTGCCAGCCTGTTCCTGCTCCAGCTGTGGCAAGGGGGGCTGCGGATCCTGTGGGGGCTCCAAGGGGGGCTGTGGGTCCTGTGGGGGCTCCAAGGGGGGCTGTGGGTCATCTTACTGCCAGTCCACCTGCTGCCAGTCCACCTGCTGCAAGCCCTGTTGCTCCCAGTCCAGCTGCTGTGTCCCCGTGTGCTGCCAGTGTTAGATCTGAGGCTCTCCCCAGGCCCCAGGTGGCCCCCACTCATGCAGGGGCCAGGGCATCCCTGTCCTTGCCCTGGGCTGGTGCTGGTCCTCCGTCACTCCCTGGTGTCCTCTCCACATGGCAGCTCCTGAAGCTCGTCGTCCTGATGGGGTGAGCCCAGGGCTGCCTCCTCCTGGCTGGACACCCCCTGGCTCATTCACCCCTTCTCCTCCTGAACCCCCTCCCTGCTCCCCTCACTGGACACCTGAGCTGGCCCTCAGAGGCCTTGGTGGCACTCCGACCCTGAGCCCCCGAGAGCTGCCTCTTCTTTCAGTAGTTTGGCCAACCATCCTCTCTGCGTGTCGGGACCTGACCCTGAACCCACTAAATAAACACTGTGCGTAGCGTAAGCCCGGCCTGTGTTCTTTCCTTCCCGCCTCGCTAACCCCCGAAGCCCCTCTCGCCGCCCCACCCCGGGCTGTTCCGATTTCTGTCTCCACCGGGTCCCCGGCCACCCCCATGTCCTCACCCACAGAACTGGTGTCTGGAGTTTTCCAGAGCCTCGTCCCACCTGGGGGAAGGGGTTCCCCCGCCCCAGCCCCTCTAACCTTCCTGTGCCCCAAGGGGTAGAATCGACACCACTGGGAAACACTCGTGAAGGTCACAGTCCTGGGACACAGGGCACTGAAACGCTGAGATCTAAGCAAAGGATTGTAGAACCCTCCCCTCCACACACTCTACCACGACCTCGAAGGGGCTCTGGTCTGAGTGGGATTTATTCCAGGTAAACAAGGCTGGTTTAAGATGCAAAAATGGGCCTGTTGCAGTGGCTCATGCCTGTAATCCTACCACCCTGGGAGGCCAAGGAGGGTGGATTGTTCAAGGTCAGGAGTTCCAAACAAGCCTGAGCTAGAGCGAGACCC